TTTGTTATGATCCACAGTCAAATTCCTTTGTATGGTCAATAAAGTACATACAGATAGTCTTCTGGTAGCCTCTGCTTTCAGCCAGACTCCATCTGACATCACCAATGATATCATCAATGCTATGACCATCTCTAAATCCAGGTTGAACTTCTGGAAATTCCTGCCAATGCACTGTTCTACCCATTTTGGGATGATCTTCTGCAATACTGCTTGCATTTGATAATAATGATATTGTTTGATAATTTCCAAAATTTGTTGGATTGTACTTTTGGGAATATGAACAAATATAGATCTCTTCAGTTAGTCAGCCAGGCAGCAGCTGTCCTCCATATTTTCTGGCATAGACTGGTGAACACATTCAATGCAGCATCTGGCAGTTGAAACTTGTTGAAATGTCAATTGGTATCCCATAATTTCTTGGGGCCTTATTTTATTGTCAATGCCTTTATTGCAGCTTGAACTTTTTCCTTCCTTACCACTGACTCCTTATCATATGGTACTTTTTGGTACATTTCAGTGTCCGTGAATTCATTTTGGTACAGTGACTGTGTATTCCCTCCATCTTTTAATACTTCCTGGTCACTCAAAGTTTTGCCTAGAGCACCTCTAAGAATTCAACTTGAGGTTTGAATTTTTTGTTATTTCAGCTTGAGAAATGCTGTGTGAGCTCTTCCCTTTTTATTCTCACCTCTAGCTCTCTGTACATTCCATTATAATACTTTGCTTTGTCTTCTAGAGCTGCCCTTTGAAATCTTATGTTCAGCTCTTTTACTTCAGCATCTCTTCCCTTAGTTTTGGCCTCTCAGTACTCTAGTGCAATTTCCAGTCTCTTCTGACAGCTTACGTTGTTTTTACCTTTCTCTTCTTTGTAATGACCTTTTATTCTCTTTATGGATAGTATCTTTGATATCTTCCCACAACTCATGTGATTGTCGATCACTGGTGTTCAAATCTATTGTTAAGATTATTTTTAAATTCAGGCGGGATACACTCAAGGTCATATTTTGGCTCTTGTGGACTTGTTTTAATTTTATTCTGCTTCAATTTGAACTTGCACATGAGTAATTAATGACCTGTTCCACAGTCAGCATCTCGCTTGATTTATACTGTTGATACTGAGCTTCTCTAACGATTTCTTGCAAAGATACAGTCTTGAGGTCCATGTGTAAAGTTGCCAAATGTGTTTATAATACAGAGTTTTGCAATTAACTAATCATAATACAGAATTCAATAATTTTATTTCTAGCCTCATTTTTGTCACCAACTCCATAATTTCTATCACTGCTTCCTCATTGTTTCCAGCTTTCACATGCCAGTTACCAATTATCATAAATGCATCTTGTTTGGTCCCTTTCAGACTGTAAGATTTGGTAAAAATCTTCAGTTTCCTTCTCTTTGGTTTTAGCTGTTGGTGCATCTATTTGAATAATAGTCGCATTAACACGCAAAACCTACACCAAAATCAAGAAGCTATTGTCCAGAGTAAGGAAACACTGTTGTTGTTATGTGCCATTGAGTCACTTGCGACTCATAGCAACCCTACGTATAAAAGCCCCAAACGCCGTTCTATCCTGTGCCAACCTAGCCATTTCAAACACACTCATTCCCACCACTCCACTCATAGAATTGATCCATCTCATCAAGGGTCTTCCTCTCCTGCGCCATCCCTCCACTCTCCCAAACATGATGTCCCTCTCCAAGGACCAGTCCATCTTTGCAACATGCCCAAAGTTATGTCAGATGAAGCTTCAGAATCCTTGACTCCAAGGAGCACTCCGGCTTCACCCTCTCTAGGACAAACTTGTTTGTTCTCCTAGCAGTTCATGGTATATTCAACACTCTTCTCCAGCACCACAGCTCAAAGGCATCAATTCTCTTTCCACCATTCCTAGTCACTGTCCAAGTCTCCAATGCATAGGACATAACTGCAAAGACTATAGCCTGGAGCAGGTGCACCTTAGTCTCCAGCCTGACGTTGTTGCTCTTCAGTACTCTTGAGAGGTTTCTCACAGCTGACTTTCCCAATGCAATTCATCTCCTGATTTCCTGGCTGCTCTTACCAAGAGTGTTGACTGTGGAACCAAATAAACTAAAACTGTTAACTATCTCAATTTCTTCACCATCCATACTGATGCTGCCAATTGGTCCAGTGGTGAGAATCTTGTTTTCTTGACATTGAGCTTCAATCCACACTGAAGGCTGCAGTCCTTGACCTTCTGCAGCAAGCACTTCAGGTCCTCCTCAGTTGCAGCAAACAGGGTTGTGTTATCTGCGTAACGCAGGTTGTTGATGACTCTTCCACCAATCCTAATGCCACATTCCTCCTCGTACAGCCCAATGTCTCAGATTATCTGTTCTGCATACAGATTGAAAAGGTATGGAGACAAAATATATCCCTGACCGACCCCCTTCTTGATTTTGAACCATGTAGCGTCTCCTTGCTCTGTTCTGACAACTGCCTCTTAGTCCAAGTATAGGTTTCGCATTAGCACAATCAAATGTTCTGGGATTCTCATTTTTCTCAGAGACAAAGATTCTCACCAGTGGACCAATTGGCAGCATCAGGATGGATGACGAAGAGATTGAGATTGTTCACAGCTTCAGTTTGCTCGGCTCCACAGTCAACACTCTTGGCACCAGCAGTCAGGAAACAAAAAGCGTATCGCGATGGGAAAGTCTGCCGTTAGGGACCTCTCTAAAGTACTCAGGAGCAAAAGTGTCTCTCTGGAGACTAAGGTGCGCCTGATACAGGCCATGGTCTTCTTTGCAATCACTTGTTATGCATCAGAGAGTTGGACAATGACTAGGGAGGACAGAAAGAGAGTGGATGCTTTTGAGCTGTGGTGCTGGAGAAGAGTACTGAATGTACCATGGACTGCCAGGAAAACAAACAGATTTGTCTTGGAGAGGATTAAACCAAGCTACTCCTTGGAGGCAAGGATTCTGGGGCTTCGTCTGACATACTTTGGACATGTTGCCAGGAGGGACAGGTCCTTGGAGAGGGACATCATGCTTGGGAGGGTGGAGGGACAGCGCAGGAGGGGAGGACCCTCTATGAGATGGATTGACTCGGTGACTGGGGTAATCGGGATGGATGTGTAAGAGGCAGTGCAGTTGGCGCAGGATAGAGCAGGATTTAAGGCTGTTGTGCACAGGGTCGCTATGAGTCGCAGACGACTCAACGGCACATAACAACAACAATAACATGCCTAGAAATACTGAGTGTCTCCTCATGTGCTTTTTTGCTATCTTTATCTCTTCTGTGGTTAAAGTATCAGCTCAATTATTTTATAAGTTTTTCAACTTAACTGTTTGCTTCCTTCATATTGGGTTCTGTGAAATGTTTATAATATTTGTCAGATATATGATATGAAAATACTTTCTCCCAGTCTGACTTATCTTGGCCATATCTTTTAAAGATGAGAAGTTCTTATTTTTAATAAAGTCCAATATATCCTTTGTTTGTTTAATGGATTTTTGTTATATCATCAACTCAACTTGAAACCAATTCATAGAGGACCCTCCAATGCGTTTCACAAGTGGTAAACTGCACAGGAAGAGACTACCCATCTATTTAGAAAGAAGCAGCTGGTAGGTCCTATAACCTGTCTTTGAGTCGGCAGTGCAACTCCTTACCCTCTAGGCCACCAATGCTTTTTTTTTTTAGTTGAGATTTTATTATAAGTTTTTAAAGAACTTGAATTTCCATTAATTCACTGTTGCACATTTTCCTCCCTGCCCTCCCTCCCCCTCCAGCTCACGTTTTTCTTTGGAAAAATGTTCTTTCATTGTTATACAGTACTACACCCCTCGATTCCCCGCCTCACTTTACTATAAAGCTCTTATTCTGGATTCTTGTCATACCAATAATACCTAAACATATATTCCTTTTATATAGTCCTCTCCCTCCTCTGTTTTAATGCCATGTACATTACTTATCCCCTCTATTCTTAGTTTCTCCCCAACCCCCATGTCAGTCTTGTTTTAGAACAGTGGCACTATGCAGTATTTGTCTTTTTGTGTCTGAGATATTTCACTCAGCATAATATCCTCCAGGGTCACCCATTTTGTATAGTATTTAATGAGTTCTCTGTTTTTCAGTGCTGCATAATATTCCATTATGTGAATATACCACAGCTTCTCTATACATTCATTTGTTGATGGGCACTTGGGTTATTTCCAACTCTTTGCTACTGTCAACAAAGCCGCAATAAACATGGGTGTGTACATATCTACTTGGGTAGCAGTTCTGATTTCATTAGGGTATTCCCAATAGTGGAATTGCTGAGTCAAATGGTATTTCTATTTGCAACTTTTTGAGAAAGCACCATTTTACACTCCCAGCCACAGTGAATAAGGGTTCCATTTTGCCCACAACCTCACCAGCATTTGTTGCTTGCTGCTCTGTTGAATTTTGCTATTCTTACTAGGGTGAGATGATATCTCACAGTTGTTTTAATTTGCATCTTTCTTGGAGCTAGGGATTTGAACATTTTTCTTCATGTGTTTGTTATCCCATCTGAATGTCTTCCTTGGTGAAGTGTCTACTCATATCCTGTGCCCATTTTTCAACTGGGTTGTTTACCTTTATCTTGTGCACATGAGTATTTTATAAATTCTGGATATAAGTCGCTTATCAGACATGTCATTACCAAGTATTTTTTTTCCCCAGTCTGTGGCTTCCCTTTTTTACCCTGTGGGGAAATGTTTGGATGTGTATAGGGATTTGATTCTTAGAAGGTCCCATTCATCTATTTTATCCTCTCCTGGTTGTAGGTGCCACCAGATCTTTGATGTCATAGCTAAGTCAATTCCAATTCATGATGATTTTCCATAGAGCATAAGGATTTGTCAGTCTTCACAGGAGGAGTCTGTTCATCTTTCTCTTTTGCAATAGATGACGGATTTGAACTGCTAACCTTTGGTTAGCAAGGCAACACTTAACCAACTACACCTCCAGGGTTCTTTTGTACGTTATACAAGTGACATTAATTTAGTACCTGAGAAAAATCTCCAGCTGCTATCAGCAAATTAACATTTTCTCGTGCTGTCAGAAGTGTTGTGGGATGAACAAGGTTAGAACTCGGCTGCAACTCCAATTCTCCCAAAGCCGTTGGACCACCACCGCTAGCATATGACTCTTCATAAACACGTCCTGTAATTAAATATGTAAACAAAAGTTAGAATACATCGGATTTCCATTCATTCATTGTTGCACATTTTCCTCCCTGCCCTCCCTCCCCAAAGTTCACTTTTTTTTTCTTTTTAGAAAAATAAGTAGCTGAAGAGAAAGAACTAAAGTATTTCTTATCTACTGAATAAGAAAGAGTGCACTTCAGCAAAGAGCACCTGATGCTATTATTCATTGTAATAAAAAAAACCCAAAACACAAAACATACACAAAATGTATGTATGTTCAAACAAATCTATAGAATTTTCTAATAACTTTTTATCAGCATGGTAATCATGCAGTTTAGCTCGCCTTAACTCTACACTCCCATACACGATGTTCACCTTCTCTATCAATATAAACTAACAAATATATGACCCCCCCTTCTATGTAAAACTACAGCATTCCTATGAAATATTTCAAAAGCTGAAATAGCATAAAGATGCAATTACCATTATTTTATACTGGAAAACTTTTTGAGCACCTAGACCAAAAAAAAATCAACCTAACTAAAAGCATAAAGCCTAAAGTACCACTAACACTTAGTGTTGACAGAATTCCAAGCTATGGAAGCTTGACACTGAGATGCTAAATGTGGTTCCTGGGGAAGGAGTCTGGCAATGCCACTCCTGCAACTCAGGGTGTGTGCTGCCTGTTTCACAGCCTGTAAAATTCTTTTACAGCTCACTGCAAAAAAACAAAACCGAGCGCTAGTTTAGTTTTTCGTCTTTTCCTCATGAAAGCAAAACCATCTTATTTCTTTCAGTTAGAAAAACACACTTATGTACGTCTTTCATAAATGCTAAGTGGTATAAAGTGAATTTTGAAAAGCATTTAGAAATAATTTTGTATCTGAATGTAATTTATGAAGAAAAGGGTAATTTCCTAGGTAGAAAATGTTGATATTGCTTAGTTCTGTTCTGTAGATATTTCTTGTCATAAGATCACATCACTTTTTACTTCATTTTAACATATCTGACTCAAATTCAGTTACGATAAAGACAAGAATACAAGGGCAGAGCTATCTGTTGTTGTTAGGTACCACTGAGTGAATTTTGACCCACTGTAACCCTGATGAACAACAGATAAAACTTTGTCTGTGATTTATACCATCCTCACAATCTCTACCATGCTCAAGTTCATTGTTGCAGAGATAATGAGTTATCAAACATTACCACTGTATATTTCCACTGCATTTCACACGGACACTGCAGACACATTTCACATATATTATCTAATTCGAGACTCACAATCATTCTGTAATGTAGGTCAGACAATATAACTATTGTTCCCTGACAGAACAAAGGCTCAGAGAAGTACCTGCCCAAAAATCAGAGACACTAAGAGGCCAGCAAAGACTAAAACCCACATTCGGATTACACTTAGGATTTTAATTCAACAGTGTTTTTTTATGCTTTTGCTAAAATTCTGCTTTGCCTAATTAACTCTCCCTCTTTTAAGTGTTGTTGTTGTTAGGTGCTGTGACATTGACTAGGACTCATAGCGACCCTATAAACAATGGATCTGAACTTTGCCCTAACTTGTGCCATCCTCATCCTCTCTGATACATTTAAGCCTAATGATACGGTCAATACGTAAATCCGTCTTGAGGGTCTTCCTCTCTCTTGATGACCACTCTACCTTTCCACAGATGACGTCATTTTCCAAGGACTTGCCTCTTCTAATAACATGCCTTTAGTATGTGAGACAAAGTGTCATTACCCTTGCCTCTAATGAGCACCCTGGCTGCATTTTCTCCAAAAAATCTTTGTTTTTGCTCTTTTCGCTGTTGTTGTGTACCATCAAGTCAGAATTAACTCAGAGCTAACCATGCAGCATGTTTCAGAGGTAGGAAATCACACAGGAGGAAAATGTCCTCGTTCTCCTGTAGAGCAGCTGATGGATTCAAACTGGGTGATTTGAGGTGGCAGTGCAACTCCTCACCACTAACTCATCAGAATTCTCTTGGTTTTTGGCAGTCCAAGGGATAGTCAGTATTCTTCTTCAACACAACAACCCAAAGGCATTGACTCTTCTTCTGTAATCCTTAGTTACTGTCCAACTTTCAGATGCATAGCACGTAAATGAAAAGATCATGACTTGGATCAGGTGCATTTTGGTCTTTAAATTGACATTATTGCTCTTTAGCACTTTGGAAAGGTCCTAACAGTCAATTTTCCCAATGCAATACATCCTTCCTTTCCTCTTTTTTAAAAATTTTATAGTAATTTATTTACAAAGTTCAAATACATTTTTTTCAAAGCCTTCCCATTTTTTCGCACCCCCCCCCAGATTTTGCAACCCTATGATTAACTCCCCACCTCCTCACTCCTCTGCTTACACCTTCCCCCCCACCCCTTGGATACTCGTATTCATTCTACAATCACAGTTTTATAAGGTATTTGTTCCTGTGGGATGAATTAGTTCACTCAGCATAACGCTCTCCAGTCTCTTGCAAGTTAGGTGGTGGTTGCTGGTTGCCTTCGAGGTGAGCACAACTCATAGGGATCCTATGCTTCCAAACTTGTCATAGTATATTACTGTTGTTATGTGCTGTTGAGTCACCTGTGATGCATAGCGACCCTATGTTACAGCAGCTCTCAAACCTTCCCTGTGCTAATTCTTATATACCAATTCCCATTGCCCCAGTTACTGTATCAATCCATCTCATTTGTGGTCTTCCTCCCCTGTGCTATCCCTCAAACCATTCCGAGCATGATGTCCTTCTCCAAGGACCAATCTCTCCTGTCCAAGTGTCCAAAGTAAGTGAGGCTGAGCTTCAAAATCCTAGCCTCCAAGAAAAGACTTGGTTTCACCCTCTCCAAGACAAACCTATTTGTTTTCTTGGCAGTCCATGTTCAAGACACTTCTCCAGTACCACAACTCGAAGGCATGTATTTTTCTTCTGTCATACTTAGTAATCATCCAATTCTCTGAAGCATAACAAATAAATGAATAGACCAGGGCCTGGATTAGGTGTACTTTTGTATCTAGATTGACATCATTACTCTTCAGCACTCTGGAGAGGTCCCTGACAGAAGATTTTCCCAGTGCAATTCATTTTGTGATTACCCAGATACTGGTGTCAAGAGTCTTGACTGTGGGTACTAGGAAGCTATAACTGCTAACAACCTCAATCTCTTCTCCATCTATTATGAGGCTGCCAATTGGCCCAGCGGTGAGAATCTTTGTCTTCTTAATGTTGAGCTCCAATCCATATTGAAGACGACAGTCTTTTGCAGCAAGTCCTTCAGGTCTTCTTCAGTTTCAGCAAGCAAATTGTGTCATCGGCATACCGTAGGTTGTTAAGAAGTCTTCGTCCAATCTTGATGCCACACTTTTCCTCATAAAGCCCTGCCTCCCAAATGATCTATTCTGCATACAGACTGAAAAGGTATTGGTACAAGATGCATCCCTGATGCACTCCTTTCCTGATTTTGAACCATGCAGTGGTTCCTTGCTCTGTTCTGAAGACTGCTTCTTGGTCCAAGGATAGGTTTCGTATAAGCATGATCAAGTGTTCTAAGATTCCCATTTTCCTCAAGGTTAGCCACAATTTATTGTAATCTACACAGTCAAGTGCCTTTGCATAGTCAATGAAACACAGGTAGACATTCTCCTGGTACTCTACTCTCTGCCAAGATGCATCTGACATTGACAATAATGTCCCTAGTGCCACAACCTCTTATAAATCCAGTTTGTATTTCTGGTATTTCTCTGTCAATGTACTGTAAAGTCTTTTCAGCAGGATTTTGCTAGTGTGTAATATCAGTGATACTGTTAGATGACCCACACTATGTTGGGTCACCTTTTTTTGGAATGGGAATAAATATGGATCTCGTCCAATCAGTTGACCAAGTAGTTATCTGCCAGATTTCTTGACACAACTTGGTGAGTACATGCAGGGTAGCATGTGTTTTCTGAAATACATCAACTGGTATTCCTTCAATGCCTGGGGCTTTGTTTTTTGCCAAGTCCTTCAGAACAGCCTGAATGTCCTCCTCCATCACCACTGACTCTTGATCATATGTTGTTTCTTGAAATTCTTCTATGTCAGTCAATTCCTTTTGGTACAATGACTCTGTATACACCTTTCATCTTCTTTTAATGCTTCCTGAATCACTCAGTACTCAATCCATAGCATCCTTAAGCATTACAACTCGTGGCTTGAATTTATTCTTTGGTCCTTTCAGCTTAAGAAATGCTGCACGAGTTCAGCCCTTTTGATTTTCCGATTCTAGTTCCTTGCACATTCTTGATAATATTTTATTTTTTCTTCCCAAGTGGCCCTTTGAAATCTTCTATTTAGCACCTTAACCTTTGATTTCTTCCCTTTGCTTTGGCTTCTCCGTGCTCTAGAGCAATATTCAGAGTCTCTTCTGACATCCATTTTGGTCTTTTCTTCTTTTTCCTTCTTTTTAATGACTTGTTTTTGTATTTTTCATGAGCAATATTCTTGGTATCTTCCCACAGTAATTTACAAAATCATTGCTCCTGCATGCTGCATAGTATTCCATTATATGAATGTACCACAACTTCCCAATCCATTCATTTGTGGTTGGACATCTTGGCTGTTTCCATGTTCTTGCGATGGTGAATAACGCTGCTATAAACATTTGTGTACAAGTTTCTGTTTGAGCCTAAGTTCCCATTTTCTTCGGGTATATTGAAGCAACGCAATAGTTGGATCATATGGAATTTCTATTTTCAGCTTTTTGAGGAAGCACGAAACTGCCTTCCAGAGGGTTTGTACCATTTTACAGGGATCCTACCAACAATGTAGAAGAGTTCCTATCCATACTCTCCAACATTTATTTCTTGCTGTCCTGTTAAACTTAGCCACTGCTGCTGGAGTGAGACGGTTTTTCATTGTGGTTTTGATTTGCATTTCTCTTATTGCCAGTGATTTTGAGTATTTCTTCATGTGTCTGTTGGCCATTCGAATGTATTCCTCTATGAAATCTCTTTACAGGGCTTTTGCCCAC